CATCAGACTGGAGAAAGGGATTGATTTGCAAGATCTTTAAGAAGGGCGATATGACAGATTGTAACAACTGGAGGGGAGTTACTCTTTTACCTGTTCTCAGTAAAGTATTCTGCAGAATGCTGATAGAAAGAATAAAAGAAGGAATAGACAAAAGATTAAGGAATGAGCAGGCAGGTTTTAGATCAAAAAGAGGAACAACCGAACAGATTTTCATCCTTCGAAACATACTTGAGCAAACAAATGAATGGAGGTCAGCTTTAATCATACTTTTTATAGACTTTGAAAAAGCATTTGACTCAGTCCACCGAGAGAGCCTATGGAAGATCATGAAGGGCTATGGAATACCAGGCAAGATCATAAGAACCATAAAGGAAATATATACAGGATTTAAGTGTTCCGTCATCGATCAGGGAGAAACATCAGAATGGTTTGAAATAAAACCAGGAGTGAAACAGGGATGTGTAATGTCTGGTTTTCTTTTCCTTCGAGTCATAGACTGGATCATGTGAAAAACAACTGCAGACAAAGCCAGAGGAATAAGATGGAACTTTAATACTGTTCTAGAAGATCTTGACTTTGCTGACGACATAGCACTTCTTTCCTCAAAACTTAGCGACCTTGATGAGAAAACGCAGAAATTAACAACAGAAGCTGAAAGAGTTGGAATGAAACTTAACCCCAAAAAGTGTAAAACTCTGAGATCCAAGCAAACAAAGAGTAAAGAGCTGATAACATTATACGATGAGAAGTAGAAGATGTAGACAAGTTCACATACCTGGGAGCAGTCATGGACAAAGAAGGAGGAGGAAGTAGCGACATCAAGAACATAATACAGAAAGCAAGAGGAATTGGCCGAAAAACAAAAATACACCTTTATAAATCATTAGTTAGACCTGTATTATTGTATGGATGTAAAACATGGAAACTCACAAACCTCAAAGAAAAGAAACTGAATACTGTTCAACACCAATGCCTAAGAAAGATCCTAAAAATAAGATGGCAAAGTAAAACATCAAACAAAACTGTAAACGAAATTGCTAACACCAGAAACATCAGTTGTGAAATCAGAAGGAGACGGTGGACATGGATAGGACACATATTAAGGCATGAAAGAGACAACAACAGTTATGTAGCACTACAATGGGCTCCGGAAGGGAAAAGAACTAGAGGAAGGCCAAAAACTACATGGAGAAAAACAACAGAGAAAGAAAGGAACCAACAAGGATAGACAAGCTGGAACGTAGCCAGAACAGCGGCAAAAGATAGAAAAGGGTGGAATAGCAGTGTGGAGGCCTTATGCGACTTCTGGCGCAGAGAGAATTAAGGTTAAGGTAAGGAAGGGTGGCATGTCTTCTTGTGTACTATTACCTTGTGAACTAGCACGTTAAAAATCCTGCTCAGATTGTCGGTCTAATACAAAGCATTGTTCATATTCATAATACATTAAAATGTTCTTGTCCTTAAAATGCATTTAATTAGCCTATGGATGTTAAGAAGCAATCCATCATCAACATGATGTGACCAGAATGTGATTGAAGAGTAATCACAATTACTACAGCAAAACAGATAACTCAAGACAATCCCATAATCCACTACACAATTTTACTGAAGTGATTGATTATTGTTCGTTGTAATTGGCCCCCTGGTCACAAGTTCTGTCTTTCACAATGTGCTGAAATTCTCACATTAAACAGCAAAATACACTATTTTATGTCCTTTATATCAGCACTTTTGGAAAAATAATTATTCTGTGCATGGATGTCAAGGTGCATTTTCAAAAATTATTCCTTAACAAAATTTTATTAATAATGAACAGTTAGCCAGACAAGAGGATTTCCAAATACTAGTATCCTTCTTCCTTCACAGCCTGGACATGTACCGCATATAAGGGTTTCTGAATTTGATACTGTCAAATTTTAGATTGTATTTGAATGTTTTTCTTAATAGAAACAATAATTTTTGTTTATTTCATCAGCGAACCTGATCGTTGATTCAAACACCATGACCTTGTTGATAATCAGTGTCAAAACTATTACTATTATTAGAGATGTGACGTCTATTTTTTTGAAGAGCCAAGCAGAGGGAAGGTAAAAAAGAACAAATAGGGTTTTCTGTACATTGCTATTAAGAAATATTAGCAGTGAGTCACAGTGTGAAACTTCACAATATATTATGATATCTTTACACAGAAAACCCCAATCAATAATCTGTTTATCTCCCTTGTTCTTGTCATTTTTAGCCTTCCTTCCATTTTTTTAAAGCTAAGTTGTCCTTTCATAGTGTTCATTTACTGTTGGTTGTTTAATGTCCAGTGGCCAATATTTCATGCATGTTCAGGACGATCCTTCCAAATTAAGATCTGCTTTCACATTGCAACATTACTAATATGTTCACATTGTGATACAAGAATTACAGAGCCAACGTGCAAGGTAATAAAAGAAACTATTCAAAAGAATAAAATGACACATGGTATATATAGGATGTTAACAATGTTTTATATATGATGCACATACTTTAAGTTAACAGGTTGTATACATTTTATCTTTACAGCTTACATAGCCACACTTATGCAAATCATTACATTAAATATTTACATATACCAAGAGGTTATGGAAAAAAATCAGTTTATAAAATACGGTGAAATGTTCAAAACTGGCATAATGTACTAAAGATATGTACACGTGGATAACAAAACAGTGACAAGAGAAACTAAACACAAAGCAATAAAAATTCTTGAAATTTACTTTAAGCATACATTAAAAATTTGAAATACTGTAAATTCATAAATTATTGCAAGCATTTATAAATGTGTTTTTGACATGACCAACCAAAATTGGAGATTAACTATTGTGATTTCAGGAAAAGCTGCATACAGATACATGTATATGTATAAGATATCAGAATGTGAGTTCTGATTTTTGTTAATATACTCATCCAGCCGAATTAATAAAAAACCTTGCAATAATTTTTTAATATACAGTATTTAATAAGTTCAATGTTTATTTTCTAACATAAGTTTTAGAATTAAGTTCACAGGTCTTATGAATTTTATTGTGCAGAATTATTTTACCTAAAATGTACTTTTAATATTAATAAGATTTGTTACATTAGCATCACTCATTATATTTCTTATTCAAACATAATCATCTAGACTTAAAGAAAAGAAGTTTGAAAATCTATTATTCTGAAGAAAAAATATCATATTAGATTTAAATATCGTCATAAAATATTTAAAAATAGAAAAAAACCAACAGTTATGGTTTACACAATACAGAAAATTTCAAAATAATGAATTTGTTTTACACATATAAAAACAGAAAATGCCATAAATATGAAATAGTTTACAAGACATATATATATAGAGTTTTAGTCATTAAAAACTTTGAACTAAAATCATGACTTTACAAGTTGCTTATTCCATGTCAAAATTTTAGAAAAAAATCATAACAGTGAAATCTTACTACAGGGAACCCAGTGTTTACTTTCAAAACTGAAATCTTTAATCACAGTTTATAAATAAGTATTTTAGGTTTGTCATTTCCAAACAACCGCCTCAAAATTCCTTAAAAGCAGATGAAAACAATCAGTTTAAATAAGTATTATAGATAAAATCTTCAGACAAGAAAGGATTCAGCGAAGACATGTCTCACTGTTTTAGAATTTTCAGCGCATTGCTGTACAGATACATCAGTTCTATTTTTTTCATCAGTAACGTTTAAAGAAATTTAAAAAGATAATTTTCATGTTTCAGCGCAACTTTATCTAAGAATAAAAATAAACTTTAAAGTATCCTTGCTTAATATCCTTCTTCAAATCAGCTTATGGGTACAGTTAATCACAAATGTGATATTTGTGTAAAAGCATTTTTGGTCTAATCAACATGGATATGTTTTTTGTATATGCAATAAAATTCTCTTGCATTTTTCACAATCTGAAATATATATTCTTTTTGTTCAATGCCCTATTTATAATTCACATACACGAAAGACATTTATCAACAAATATATAAAAAATAAATCAAATTTTTTCTTCCTTATCAGATGGTAAACTGTTGATATTGATTGCATACTTTGACAATTTTTACACATTTATTCTTAAATACTAATCCTTCAGGCTTACTCAATTTCAAGTACAAGATTTTATGCAACAAGTCTTCAAATCAAAACTACCGTACAATTATAAACAGCAAAAATATATTAAAAATTGTTGAGCACTGCAATGTTTTACAACCATCTTCAATTTCATATCAAAAGGTAAACATTGTTGATCTCATTAAATTACTGCAGCAATTCGTAAAGTGCTGTTGTTATAACAGTCTTCACATTTTATGTTTTTATCGTAGCAACCCTGCATACTTGAGGTCTCCACTTTAGGAATTCTATCCTATTAAAGATTTACCAGGCGTTGCTTCACTGTTGTTTGTAATTTTTAAAAATAATCATACAGCAACAAGTCCAAACATATTTTCAAATATGTTTATATATTTTCAAATATGTTTATCACTAATAAGTTATAATCAACACTCTACAAGTATAAGTCAAATACAAAGTTTTCTGGTTATTTAAATGTCCCTCAAGTGTAAGGTAAATGGTTCTTCAAATTTCTTCACATCAGTCCATGTTACCTCAGACAAGTCCACTAGTATCTTATTTAACAATATTTAAAAGACACATTAATTTTATTGAGTTGCATTACATAGGTATCACCTTTCAATTCCATTTCTACTGGATGAACAAAATTGAAAAGAAAATGCTGTGGTTTCTTTTCTTTTTGTGGGTACCATTTTTTGCAGATTCTTTATTTTGTGGTTTCCACAAATTCTGCATTCAACCCCATAGGAAATTTGTATTTCTTTGAAAATTTTAAATTCATTGTTCACCTTAACCCATGAAATCCATAAAAATAATTACCCACAAAAAAAAATGAATCCGCTGTATCATAAATTGATTGCCAAATTTTTGTTTTTCATATAAAATTGTCTGGCACTTTTAATGTACATACATTTATACAAATATTTTTTTTATTCCTTTCTTAAAAACTGAAATTGTCCATGACATTTTTAAAAAGCTGATTAAACACAGATGTGCTGCAGTTACATAAAATTAATTTGCACTCATCTGGGTATATCATTCAGTTTCTTATTCTGCTCAATGGTACAAGACAAAGTATAGAAAATTATTTTCATTGGAATTGAGGTGAAAAGATAGTTTGAAAAAAAAGTTTGATGATTTTAAAACTGTACTAATAAAAGAAAAGATGGACATACAGTTCAACAAACTTTTAACAATGACAATCCTTTGTCACTTTCAACTCTTGATCCATTCAACATGGGAGACAACTGGAAATTGACTCCCCTTTAAGAGAGTCTATACAGGTAACAAGAGCGCAATTATTTGTTTACATTTTACCGGCAAGTTTTTTACCCCAAGATGGTACTCAGAATAGAATCCTATACGGCTTCTGATTGGATGATACAGGATTGGAATTACATTTAATCGAAAGCTTATCCAATTAGGTTTAAAAAATGCAGAAAATCATATTCACATTTTACAAAGTATAGAAAATATCTTCCATTTCTGCACGTCGGAGCCATTAAAAATATGCCTTTTTCATTAAGCGAAAAAAATAGAGGATCTTTTTCAACTGCATTTTAAGTCAATTTTTGCCGCATGATTATATATATTTTTTTGGTTGTAATGCAACACTGGCATTTCTAGTAACAGGAACTGCTACCCGTTTTTCCCTATTTTGTGTAGTCCTCGAGGGAAAAAATACGGAACACCAGTGGTACCCTATGGAAAATGCATTACGAATAATTGCGCTCTTGTAACCTATATGAACATCATTTCCAAAAGATTACCATACGTACTGGAGACAACTGGCTAAATGTACAATGTAAAGGGAAATCAGTCCGATTTTTTTCCATTTAACCATCCTAGTTGGATAAATATTTTTATTTTTTACAGAGAAAAAGACAAATCTAAAATGAAATAATACAAATTCAATTTGTTTTCAAATCTGTCAGTAAATAATCAATAAATAAGCAACCATACAAAAGTTGGTATAAAAACCTGATAACAATTAACTTATAACAGTAAATATTACACTACTACAGTACGTAACAAGATAGATTATCAGATGTCTTTAACTTGCCCAGGCTTCTAATTCCTTTAATTCATCATCGTCATGTTGAGGTTTGCCTACAAGTAATAATTTATTACATGTACAACTAAACAACTTAAATTATATAATTATTTGTACATGTATCAAAAGCAGAAAGATTTAATTCAAAACTGAATTCATATATCCATGTACATTTTTTGTAGCCTTCAGTATAAACTGTAATGTGTGTCTATTAATAGTATGTATAAATTTTTACCTACACAATAAGTGAGAGGTGAAACCCTTCCTTTAAATCATTATTCTTGTTATTCATGATCAACATTTACAGATAACAATAAGATTTCCTTATCTGATGAAAGACAAAAATAACAAGACAAGTTTGTACTCTTGACCACACTTGACCAAAGACCAAAATAACAAGACTGGTTTGTACTCTGACCACTCTTTACACACTTGACCAAAGACCAAAATAACAAGACAAGTGTGTACTCTTGACCACTCTTTACACACTTGACCAAAGACCAAAATAACAAGACAAGTTTGTACTCTATCCACTCTTTACACACTTGACCAAAGACCAAAATAACAAGACAAGTTTGTACTCTTGATCACTCTTTACACACTTGACCAAAGACCAAAATAACAAGACTGGTTTGTACTCTTGACCACTCTTTACACACTTGACCAAAGGCCAAATTAACAAGACAAGTTTGTAATCTTGACCACTCTTTACACACTTGACCAAAGGCCAAATTAACAAGAAAAGTTTGTATTCTGACCACTTTTTACACACTTGACCAAATACCAAAATAACAAGACTGGTTTGTACTCTTGACCACTCTTTACTCACTTGACCAAAGGCCAAATTAACAAGGTAAGTTTGTACTCTTGACCACTCTTTACACACTTGACCAAATACCAAACTAACAAGTCAAGTTTGTTCTCTTGGTCACTCTTTACACACTTGACCAAAGACCAAAATATTACAAGACAAGTTTGTACTCTGACTACTCTTTACACACTTGACCAAAATAACAAGGCAAGTTTGTACTCTTGACCACTCTTTACACACTTGACCACTTTTTCACATGTTTCTATTGCATGTGTTTATAATTTACAGATGTTCTATAAAGTCTATATGATCTCAAACTTTAGGAGTTTAGTTAAACCCTTCACATGTTCATGTGTCTGTTTTGAGTCAGGACATTTATCAGTGGTTGTCTTTAGTTATATCTTATTTTTTTCCATATACATTGTTTACATGGAAGTAATGTGGTGTAGATCTTGCACTGTTAAATGTATTCAAGAGTAGGGTCAATTTAAAGCTTGACTTATTGTATAGACACTTGTCTCATTGATGTACAATGTATATCTTGTAGCTCATTTGCATAAAGCATATGTTGACAAATTACAGACAATTCATAGAATCTATGTAAGCAATTAGTTATAAGTACTATCACTAATTGATCTGTTATTTATCAAATAATGAACTTTCACTGGTACTTTTAAGCATGGTGTAGAAGCTAGATAAGATGAATGTATTTCTGTATTTGACATAAGTCTGTCTAATGAAAGATGCAAAGATAAAGAATGGATGTACCACAAAGTATATAGCTTAAAAGAAAACATTTTCTCTTATCCTTATAAAAAATATGTTCCAAGTTAATTGGGTCTTACTTTTGGATGCAGCTACAGGCACAGGTTCACTTGGTACTGTTGGAAGGTTATCTACCATTGGACCAACATCCAGTAATTTCTGATCAAGTTCCTCTTGTTCAAGTTCTTCTAACTCTGCCATCAAGTCATCCTGTAAATATGAGAATCTTTTTGTTTATCATCACATTTATTTCAGTATACAAAATGCTTTATCTATGACAGTTATAAATAAAGCCACAATTCCTTTGCACAAGAAAACATTTATTGATTTTATACTTAAGATAGTATATGTATATGAATACATGTATTAGGCCATCCTGAATAAAACATGATAAAATGAATAATGTAGACACTATTTTTATAGAAATTGGAAAATTTGATGCTTGAGCAGCAATTCAGTTTATTTTGTGCACATTGGACTATAATTATAATATATTATTATTAATAATTTAATTGAAGAAATTTCTATGATTTTACCTTATAGTAATTTATTTTTACAAATACAGAACATTTTTTAATTAATTGAAAAAGTTAATAACTTGGCTTTACAGTTTACAACTTCAACTTTTTAAATTTAGAAGGCAGATGTTGAAGATGTACATTGTACACGAAGTATGAAGTCAAGTACAGGCCTTATAATACCTTATCCTATATTTAGATGCACTGTGTCTTTTTTCTTTGCATTTAAATATAACTGACTAATATTGTGACAAACAGAAAAGATCAGACTATTTGTTAGTGATTAAATTACAATTCAAGTAATGAAAACTATAATCTTAATGTTTACCCTGCGTTAGTTGACTGTATGTAGGACATTAACTCCTGAAGGTTTGATCATACAGAAAAAGATATAGGATAATGACAATGGAGAGAACTGGAAAATGTAATAATATAAAGTCTGTCGTATTTTTCCTGTTAATAAAAAAGTGGCAATAATATCTGAATTTACAGTAACCCAAGAAATTCCCAAGCCTTAACACTATAATACATTGTAGTATATCTCACCTCGTCAGCATCTTGTCCAAAACCAACTGGATTAGAGATGGCTTCTGATATTTCATTAGCTATTTCTTGTTGTTCTGCTACATCATCCATTAAATCATGAACTTTATCAACATCCCTATAAAATGTTATAATTATTTATCAAACATGAATCGAACCGGTCATTGAACAATAGAGACATCACTTCAGGTCTATTTTCGCCTCTTTTTTTTCTTTAATTGCATTGATTATGTATATCCATATTCTTCTGTATTTTTACAAACTATGGGCACAGAAACATTTGCATGTTGTGACTTTTGATTGAATAAAACAAAATTGAACACAGCAATCTGGAATAATGTGTCATGTAAACTGGACTGAACATCATTTTCAAACTTCTCAACTTAAATTTGAAAAAGAATGTATGCATTATTGTGCTAAGCATACCCTGACCCGCAATTCAAAGTACATGTATCATCGGAAATCAGGAAGTCTGACAGATCTGAAAAGCACACACTTACAATGTTCTATACAACTCATCCCTATTGAGCTGCTGTCAGATTAAAAATAAACACATTCAGGATTCTACATACACAAATGTAGTTCACATGTAGTTTCTGTGAAAAGTGTGACGAACATGCAGTAAAGTCTGTTTAACAGGAAGTTAATGTAATTATGATAAGTTGGAGCAACCATTTTATTCAATAATGCATTTGCACTGTCAAATGACACGTGCATTGTTTTTTATAACTTACATGTTTTGATGAGCAGCTTTAAGAGCTTTTGCTGCATTGCCCATTACATTGAGTACTTCTGTATTAGTACTAGCATTTTCTAGAGCTTCTCTTTGGAATTCTATTGTAGATAATGTTCCATCTATTTGTTGTAGTTGTTTTTCATATCTCTTTTTTCTTTTTAATGCTTGTAAGGCAGCTGCAATAAAAAAAAGTCTGAATAAATGTAATCAATGTTAAGTGCTTTTTGCAATTGATATGCACAATTCATGGTACATCATTTATTGTACAATTAAATAATCTAAACATGCTAAAATAATTATTAACTGGACCTACATTGTATTCCCAAAAATTTGGTAAAAAATTAGCTCTGAACAATTTAAGTGGCAAAGATCTTGGTATTATGATCAATTTTGGTGTTGACATGACAGTACCTTGTTTAATTATTAGTAGCAGTGAACAAGTTAGTTGATTGGTATAAGCCTACATAAAAAAGATTCTCTAGGATGATTGTCATGAAGTTTGGCTGTAAGAATCAAAGAAAGATAGTATACAAGTAACACACCAAATATCAAGTACATATGTAGTACATCCCACACTGCCAAACTGATACCCCTCTGTTTGGGTTTTACTGATAGAAGGGAGAAAGTCACGGCAACATTAACAATATTTTCATACCCCAGTCATTGACTTGGTCTCCCATTCGTTTAATTCATCTCTAACAGATTATCATGACTTTGCAAATTGTGTGATCTTATGTCTAAATGACAAATGCCGACTGACTGATTCTATCTGAATGAAATAATTTTGACGATCATTAACGAGTCCAGGGTTTCAGCTAGGATTTTGAGGGCTTTAATCACTTTTGCACAAGATGAAAATCAACCTTGTTTTGGGTAACAACAAGGGATCAAGGACGTATATAACTAGCTATGCATATGCCTAAGTCCTTCAAGGACTAGGATTTTTGAAGGCCTTAGGCATGGTACAAATGTTTGCAGTTACTGCATGATTTGACTGATGTAATGCTTAAATATGAAGATAAGAACAGGGATCTGGAAATCTAGTTCACAATTTCACTTGTTATTTTCAGGGGACATTCCTGATCAACAAAAGTTGGGTGCCTCTTTTTTAAAACCACAGCATAATTGATCTTGTAACAACTATTTCACTGCTTAATCATTATCCTTGTTAATACATTTAAATCAATATTTGGAATTCATTTCTTTAAAGTTGGAAACAAGGATTGTATCAATCCTTACTGGAACAATTGTAATGACTAAATTGTAAATTAATCGAGAAAAGATCATGTTAACTGTCGATTTTTATACGAAATGAAAACGGGAAGTGACAAGTGGATAATAAATTCAGAATGAATCCAGATTCATCTACGGATTAGTTCATGTTTAACAAAAAACAGGAAATTATCATTTTTTAAAATAAAGTTGCTTAGTATGAACTATATTTATCTCTCTCGTTTAATTAGGGCCCAGCCAAATGGCGGACGCCCTTTAGTGATCAGTCTGTCCGTCCGTAACAAATTGTGTCTGCTCTATATCTAGAGAACTGTTATGATTTCAAAGTTTATACTTGACATGTATATTAACCAACACCAGAGGGTGTGTCATAATGTATGTACAACTTCCTAGGTCAAAAACTTTGGTTTTAGTTGACATCCTTATGTCCTATGGTAAAGATCGTGTCCGCTCTATATCTTGAGAACCATTATGATTTCAAAGTTTATACTTGACATGTATATAAACCAACACCAGAGGGTGTGTCATAATGTATGTACAACTTCCTAGGTCAAAGGTCAAGGTCAAAAACTTTGGTTTTAGTTGACTACCCCATTTCCTATGGTAAAGATCGTGTCCGCTCTATATCTTGAGAACCGTTATGATTTCAAAGTTTATACTTCAATGACATGTATATAAACCAACACCAGAGGGTGTGTCATAATGTATGTACAACTTCCTAGGTCAAAGGTCAAGGTCATAAACTTTGGTTTCAGTTGACAACCCCATGTCCAATGATAAAGATACAAATTTTTACCACACATTATTCACAGCGGGCCCACAGAGATGGCACCCATCTCAATGATATCTAGTTTGATATTTAATTATTTCGTATTTTACATAAATTTATATGAATACTTTCACACATGCGCAGTACACAGTAAAGGAAGCACCTGTTTGACTCGTGAAACGATTTCTTAAAGTTTTGAATAAAGTTCCATCTTTCTAATCGAAATTGTCGAAAGGTTTTGATGAAAAGATATATCAAGTATGACAAAATTACGACAAACGAACTGACAAACTGTGATCGTTGGAAATTAAAACGCGCACTGTCTGGGGGTAAACAATTTTGTTCAAATGACGAAACTACGATAAATGAACTGCAAATTGTGGTTGTTTGACATTTATTGAAATTGAAATGCCGACTGACTGATTTTACTAAGAAAAATAATTTTGATGGTCAATTATGAGGTTTATTAATAATAATGGATTAGTGACCCATCTGATGGTGATCAGCGGATAACCTGTAATCACAACTTTTAACATCTGTAGAAAATGTTAATAATTAGCTGAGGGTCATAAACTTGTCAGAAACACGAAGAGAGGTAGAATAATAGTATTTTCATGTGAAAATATTTTTACACTTTCCAAATTTAAGAGACGAAATTGATTTGAAATACTTTCATCATTTTGAAAACTGTTTCGTAAATGATGAGCGCTAGCAAAATCACTGTAATAATTATGACCCATCTGATAAGCAGATCAAAACAAATTATGACACCTGTTGTGACTGTTGATGAGCTTGGGGCAGAAAACTTGTCAAACACTTTTTTTTAATTTGGTTTGATCTAAAGGTAACACAAAAAGTTTGATTTTATACTGTACAAAATATTTTGGAAATTATCAGTTATTCAAGTACAATCAAATTTTGAAGTATGGCGGACAACAAATTAAGCATGGCACATGGAAATGAAAGGAGGTGCGCCATGCTACAATACGGCAGTTCCAGGATACAGTTTTAAGACGAATCTGTCATGTGACTCACATCACAAAAATGTATGCATCGTCACTTCTAACACATGTTGAGCAAATGGGTGAAAAAGTTTGATTTTATACTGTACAAAATATTTGAGAAATTAAAATCTAATAAGATGGTCATCCTCCCTCAGTCGTACGGGAATCAAGATTACGTACTTACGGAACATAAATCATTTCTATACTACCCTACAGAATGACGATTATGAAAGTGCTGGAAACTTTTAATAGAGCAGGGATACAGGTGCGCCTTCTATCTGGTAAATGACGTCATAAAGGTGTGGGAAATTGACGATCTTTTCCGTTGAAAGACATGATTCCAGGAATGACATATAGGTCATAGTGATCCCTGACGATGACTGTGGGTGAATGGAAAAAATAGCAAAAGGTGTATTATATATATGTAGGTGATTGGCCAGCTGATATCCTTTTTGCATTCTTTGACAGGAGTAATTCTATGATTTGGCAACCTCCGCAGCAGACCTCTTAATCAGAAAATCGCTCCAGACAAAGAATCTCAAAAGGAATCATTAAGCAGAACAGCTGAAAATGTCAAACGTGTTTTTAATTTTAAGGATGTAGCACTAGTCTAGATATTATAATTTATTAACACAATTATTTTTAAAGATTAAAAACATGATCCTAAGCAGATGGACTAGATTTTACCTCTTTTATTTTTAGCTGCATTCTTTTTAGCTGTTCCTACTTCTTGATCTATTTTCTTTTCAAGAAAAGCTTGTTTTTTCTCCAACATCTCTTCAGTCTCTCTTAGTTTTTGTATCGCTTCTTGGGGAGTTGGGGCTTTATTTTTCCCTTTCCCGCCGCCAAACATTTTTGATATTAAACCACTCATAATGTGCTGTGTATGGTGTCGTTCGTTCGATATAAATAAAGATTTTACAATGTTTATGATATCAAAACAGTCTGATCTTGAGTCACAAAAAATCTACTTCCGGAAAAGGCTTGAATATTACGAAATTGTGTAAGCAAAACGAACAAATCTAGGTATATCTAATAACCAAAATCGTGGGTTTTTTCCTCTCACGAGGAATCACAAATCACCCGTATAAAAGCTCGGTGTTATAAATGTACTACTATGATAATAATATTATATGTAAGAAAGTTATAATAAATTCAATTTTTTTTTTATTTGCCATATATAATTTTAGATCTTATTAATAATTTCCTTTCGATTTTAATATTAATAATATATTTTTTAACTTTGAACAAGGATTTGTATAGTGATACTATACAAATCCTTGCTTTGAACAGATGAAAAATATTTTAGAATATACAACAAAACGATTTTTAATATTGGGTATATAATTTTATTTTTTATTTTTATTTTTATTTTTATTATATTCTTCAAGTAAAAGTATATAATGAAACAGAAATATTTTAGTTTTTAATTATTTTTAGAGGTCAAGACCAATGCAAAGATGTTTTTATTTACAGCAGAGGCGGCTTTTTAAAGGGGCATTAGCTACGAGATATAAAAAAAAAATAAAAAAATAAAATATGATATTTTTTTGTTCAATCATTAAAGGGGCACTAGCTGTCAAATTCATGTTCACCGATTTGACTCAAATTCTCATATTTGATTTATAACCATGTAAAACATTTATCCAAACTATTAAAAGTCTAAAATAAACAATTTACAAGGCATGGCCTCGATAATATGTAGCTTCGTTTCGTGTGTATTTTAGTGTAGAAGCCATCTGATTAACTATCGAGTTGACCTCCGAAGTCCTCCGATGACCATATAAGCGATGTAAACATAAATATAGATATAAATAGATTAAGCGAACTCGTGCTTTTGGATTTTTCTAGGTCTGTTTAATTTCATATTATAGATTAAAAATATATGTTTATCATCGTTTTTACCTGTATAAGAATGATTTTCTTGTGGATCGAATCAGTCAATCAAATGATTTACCTTTGTTTCACTTTCAATGTTGACTTTCTTTTCCTTTAAATAACTTTACGCGCACAATGCATGCGTTATCCATCTCTAGCTAAGGGGTTAAATTGAAGTTCACGTGAATACGGATTGAATGAGGTCGAATTATTCACTTGCAAGTGAATGATTCCTCATCAATGTTTCTTAGCTTATTTCGACAAAATTGAACCATACTGGCTGCTATTGGCGAATAATTATTTCACTATTTCACTTTCATTAATGATTGAACAAAAAAAAATCATATTTTAGATTTTTTATATATCTTTTAGCTAGTGCCCCTTTAATGAAAGTGAAATAGTGAAATAATAATGCGCTTTCAGCAGCCAGTTTAGTTCAATTTTGTCAAAATAAACTTAGAAACATCGTGGATGAATTATTCACTTGCAAGTGAATAATTCCTCATCAATGTTTCTTAGCTTATTTCGACAAAATTGAACCATACTGGCTGCTAATGGCGAATAATTATTTCACTATTTCACTTTCATTAATGATTGAACAAAAATAATCATATTTTAGATTTTTTATATATCTCTTAGCTAGTGCCCCTTTAATGAAAGTGAAATAGTGAAATAATAACGCGCTTTCAGCAGCCAGTTTAGTTCAATTTTGTCAAAATAAACTTAGAAACATCGTGAATGAATTATTCACTTACAAGTGAATAATTCGACCTCATTAAATCCGCATTCATGTAACCTTCAAATTTACACATTAGCTACAGATTGGTTACGCATGTATTAGTCGTGTTCAGCTATTAAAAGGAAAAGAATGTCAACACTGAAAGTGAAACAAAGGTGAACCATTTCGTTGACTGATTCGATCCACAAAAAATCATTCTTATACATGTACAGGTCAAAACGATGTTTAACTTATTTTTTTAACCTATAACATGAAATCAAAAAAACCTAATAAAGTCAAATTGCACGAGGTCGCTATCTATTTATATTTATGTTTATGTTTATATCGGGTTATGTGACCGTCGGCAGTCTTCAGAGGTCAGCTCGATGGTTAATTAGATGGCGTCTAGACTAAAATACTCACGAAATGCTGTGATATATTGTCGAGCCTATGCATTTTTAATTGATTATTTCAGACTTATTGTAATTTGGATATACGTGCTAAAAATGAAAATTTCATAGAAAATCCACAAGTTTTCACAGTGTACACTTGTATTTGACAATTATGTACTAAATAGAAATGGGGTTATTGCATGCAGTGCTAGCAATGATCTCAATAAAACAAGTTTTTTTTAAATAAAGTATTAAACATGGACCAATTCAATTCGATTACACCTCCTAGGGTGCGTTCGACTTTAATGACTCAGCACGAGGTTTGTTGGATTGGTAAGGTTGTTCAGGACTTTGGTAACCAATAAAAAGGCAAGCTAGCACACCATGTATAAACTAGTGAGTAATCTAGGTTTATGTCAAAATCTATAATTGATAGAGAAAATACCGTCACACTCCAAATGATCAACACACTATGATCTATCGTTCTTTCTACTGATCAGAAATCATCAATCGACCCCTTATTGGAGTATTGCTATTAAGTTACTGTTTTTACCAATTTTTGCGTGTTTTATTTATATTTGAAAACTATGATAGACAGAGAGAAAACGTTAACAGTAAAATTGAACAGAAAGACAAGATCTAATAGAAATCCAATATCACTTAGATTGTCAATTGACCCCCGAAAGAAGTTGACTGCAATTACAGATTCCCCATTTCAGTGATTATGCATTAAATTTGACCATCTTCTTCCCTGAACTACTTGACAGAAAGAAACTAAATTTTGCAGGATTGTTCATTGGATGATTGACTTTCATTGCTATTTTTGTGACGAGCGGAAATTAAATATGACCGCCGTCTTTGAACATAGTTTTAAAACGGCCAATAATTTACTTATTTTCTTGTTATAATTTTTGAAACATTGATTTTTTATTTTTGTTTAAAGCACCTCATCGGTCTGAATAATAAGTTTTTTAAGGTTAATTAAAAATGCAATAACTTATATCTGTAATTTATCAGAACTTTGGAAAAAAAATGTTCATTTTCATTTTTATTTATTATAATAGTTTTTATAATTATTTTCCAGCAATGATGAAGTTGATGACACTTCAGTACCAGACCATGAACCAACAACTACCACTGCAATGCCATCTCAGTCAGTACCAGACCATGAACCAACAACTAACAATGCAATGCCATCTTTGTCAGAAACCAGACCAACCTACCCCATAAAAGCTAAATAGAAAACATCTAAGTGGTTGTGTACAGTAAATATGGTCCGGTAGTAAATGAGTAGGTAAGACCCCTTTTTGGCCCCAAAATATAGCAGTTTTACAAAATTGTTAAAATGTAAACTTTTAGCTATTTACTGGAAAGTAGAATACCTCTGTTACATAAATATGGGCTGTTTTTGACAATACAATGCACATATATCGGATAATAGCATCATTAAGTCATGCTAAATTACTGAATTCTTCACAATTTTAGCATTTGAGTTAAATTTTAGACGGTTTCCGTCTTAAATGGAAGTGGCCGCATTTGTGTTCATTCTTAATATTTAAATGCAAGTTGTATTTAGGGATAATACATAACATATATAAAGGTTGAGAGTGAACACGGATGCGGCCACTTTCATTTTTGACAAAAACCATCTGAAAAGTGACATATTATGCCATATTTGATAGATTTTTCATATTTAAGCTTGAATTTGAGCGTTATTAATGACTAAATCAGTTCAAATCTTTCACTTAAACTAATTGAATCGACAGAAGTAGACACTTAAGTGTTTAAAAAGCGTCCAAAATCTTTCATGCGCATTGTCCGCCGGACTTTTTTTCCTAGTTAATCAAGTCCATGACCACAATTTTACTAGGAATGTACCGGTAAGTCCCAGGACAAATTTTCCTAGGAAAATAAGTCCACAGGTAGTAAAATATGTCTGGCACTTATTTTCCTAGGAAAAATTGTCCTAAGACTTGTTTTTCTAGTAAATTATTGTACTGTATAGCAATTAAAATAAAGGACATGGACGTTATAACCTAGGCATGTTAATGACATGGACATGAAACATGATTTGCTAGGAAAATTAGTCTGTGGACATAAATTTTATTAAAAAATTAATACACAACTTTCTTCTAAAACAATATTAAAACATAAAAACATGTAAATAATTTGTTTCATTGAAATCTACCTTTTAAAATAAAGGACATGAACGTTTGTACCTAGGAATATTAATGATATAGACATGATTTCTTAGGAAAATTACTAGTAAATTCTGTAACCATGGACTTTTTATACTAGTAATATGTGTCCGCCCGGACATATTTTACCAGGACAGATTTATCTCCAGTATCAGAGATAAAGGTCAAGAAAAACTACTATTCAAGGACCTTCATAACAGCCCATGCTTCTCCACTATGGTTGACGAGGTCGCAGACAACAGAACCACCAAACACCTGGCCATATGTACCCACTTAATCAACAGTGAGGGAGATGTAAAGACTTCATTTTTAACTGACACAGAACTCAGCAACACCACTGCAAATCCAATCACTCAAACAATCAATTAAGAACTCAACAGTCACCAACTCTACATCAAATACCGGTATGACAGGGTTTGGATCTGATTGAGTAGCAGTCTTTATTAGCAGCAAGACAGGGATGTTGCTACTCAACTCAAGGCACAGAATACACACCTATTGACTCGCCATTGCAGAGGCCACATACTTTCATTTGCCTATAGAGACGCATTTAACAAGATCACACACACGAAGAAAGTCGACCAAATGTTGGAGACCTTGTACAAGTATTACATATACAGTTGCAAAAACAACGAAAGCCTCAAGTCCGTCCAGAAAGCCTTCAACGAAGTATCACTCACACCAAACAAGCCAAGCACCATCGTTGGTCGAGGCATGACCAGGCAATAACACCAATAGTACGCAGTTAAAGGTGCGTTATTCTAGACCTTGAATCATCACAGATCAACAAAGACC